AAGGTTGAAAAACACTGAGATAGACGATTCTGGACCACCAAGGTGGGCCCAATTCAAGTACAAGGGATTTTAAAAGTGGAGGAGGGTGGCACAAGAGAAAATCATGGAGAGATGTGACTTCAATGTAGTCCACAAGATGCAATATTCCTGACTTTTAATGATGGAGGGAGGGGTCACCGGTCACAGAATATGGGTGGAAAGAAACAGTCTCCCCAAGCCTTCTGATACCCAGATTGCAGCCTTGTGAGATCCATGTCAGATTTCTATGCTAAGAATTTTAACACATTTGCATTGTTTCAGGCCACTAAATTTGTGATAATTTGTTATGGTAGTAATAGAAAACTAACACACATGTCAAAGCTGTAAAAACCCTTGCAGGTCTGAGAAAAGAGAATATATATAAAGAAGTGCTCAGCAAAAAGGTAAAAGAGAGTGGGGATAATGGAAGTTCACTTACCATGGCACATGGGTTGTAAAACTGTTGGAAAGGTTTTTTTGGGCACAATGTTGTGTCAAGATGGAGCTACTTAGGCAACGTGTAGAACGAATATGGAAAAGAACAAGGTTGTTATTTTTTTTTTCAGCCTGTATCCCTAATACTGAGCCCAGTTTATAATAAGTGCTCAATGTTTGCAGAATGCAGCTGCAAGGAAGGGGCTGTAATTTAGATAGTATGAGATGACCCTGAGAATGGGGCAGAGGTAATGCTTGAATGAGAAGTAGGGTGGGATTAATTCACTCAGTTGAGAGTCTTTGAGGGCACAGAAGAAGGGGGTGGTCTCAAAGGCCTGATGGCTGAAGTCTGTGTGTAAGCAATTATCAGCACCTTTGTGAGAAGCTGCTAAAGTTGTTAAGGTACTTACATAAAGCAATCCTCCTTACAAGGAACAGGGCCTGTTGTCTGAAGGTAGGGGAGCCCTGACTCACACTTGTGGGGAAGATAGCAGCTGTCTCTAGTAGTTAGGGTGACTTTGTTAGGGGCAGATATAAAATATTGAAGACTAACTATCCTATATAATAAAAGGCTAATATACAAATCAACTAAAAGGTGGAATGACTGTTTGCTATGCCATGCACTGAACTCCAGGAAGCAAATGCTCAATGCAGAAGCTGCCCCCTGGGGGGTCAGTGCGCTGCCACAGGGGGAACACTGCTTGGCCAGAAGCTGGGCTCATGGCTGGCAAGTGCAGCGGCAGTGGCAGTGGCAGAGGAGCTGCTCCTGCCTCCGTGGCAGCACTAAGAATGTCCTTCTAACAGTTTAGGCCTGCTTCCTGAGGGCTCCCAGACTGCTAAAGGGTGCACAAATTTTCTGCACAAGGCTTCTACCTAATAAAAGAGAAACATGCGAATTGACCGAACCTTCGCTACGCCCTGCCCACCAGCCAATCAAGGTGAGTATGCAAATTAACCCAAGCAATTGCATATACAGGCCAGAGTGAAGACTAACGACAGCATAGGAAGAAGCCAAGTGTTGTAGAAGGGAGGGAAGCTTCTGAGAAGCAAGCAAGCGAGGTGGTGGAGAAGGGAGGGAAGCAGGTTGGGCAGTGACTGCAGCAGAAAGCCTTATTGCAGGAATCTTCCTGCAATGGGCCTCTAGTCCCGCCTAATAAAAGAGTAATATGCAAATTAACCATCACTCCACTACACCCACAAGCCATGCCCACCAGCAAATCAGAGAGTGTATGCAAATAAACCCAACCAAGATGGTTATGGCCACAGAGAGCAGGAGAGAGGCTTGGGTTTCCCAGGCAATGGAAGAAACCAAGCTCTCCACCTGCCCTTGCCAGCCTAGTCCTCCACTCAAGGCTACAAAACTTCAATTATGGAAGGTAAAAAGTCCAAACAGAAATGGCTGCAGCCATGGAGTGAGCAAGAGTCTTGGATCCGCTCCAGGCTACAAAGTTTCAATTGCAGAAGGTAAATAAATTCCAGATACCAGGGCCTCCACTTGGGTCGTTAGGGGGCATGGCCAGCCTGCAAACCCCCACAGGCCCCTTGCCCAGGATGCCCCATGCCCCAAGGAACCCCCACCCTGATCTGAGACACGTTTTAGGGCAAACCAGCTGGCCCCACCCATGTACTGGGCCTCTAGCTATTATAGAAAAATTAACAACTTTGTTGCAGAAACCAGAGGTTACAGCCCTTTGCAAAGCCCCAGCTCTTTACAGACTCACAGTCCTTTGCAAAACTTCAGTCTGTATCACCTCTAAATTTTAACCATTATGCATACTTATTCTTATTCCTTTTGACCACTTCCACCCAAAATCTTTTTCTTTGTTCCCCATATAAGAAGCTGGCTTACAGGGGGTACAGATCAGATTTTTGTGGGTGACGTGCTGCTCTCCCAGACTGCCACCATTATTGGAATAAATACTCATATGGTTCAACCCTGTCTCTGCAGGATTGGATCAAGTAGTGACAGGACAGGCAGCGCAGACCCATTGATTGTCCAGTTTCAAACTGAGCTGATGTGGGAAGACACAACTAAAGAAATCAAGGTGATGCTACACAGAGCTTGGACTACCTTGAACTCAAAGATGACATGCCTCATGATGTAAGAAGTAGAGTACTAACTATTAATGAACACAAAAGAGAGACCTGGGATCTGAGGCTAATATCAGAAAGGCAAAAGCCCACACAGCTGCCAAGGCTCAGGACTGAGCATCAACTTATTAACCACCGATTCCTAGTCAGGGCACATGTCAGTTTGTGGGCTCAGACCCCAGTGGGACACATGCAAGAGGTAGCCAATGAGTAATTCTCTCTCATCATTGATGTATCTGTCTCTCTCTACCACTCCCTTCCTCTGTGAAACCAATAAAAATATTTATTTTTAAAAAGAAGGGCAAAAGCCCCAAATAAACTGAAATGTATAGAATATGTTGAGAAAAAATAAAGCATTTTTAGATTACAATAAGGAAAAAGCAACAGAGAAAGGGCAACTGCTTCAAGCACCTGATATAAAAAATAACAATAGGATACATATCTACTGAACTTTAGTTTTTTCAAAAATATTGATTTTCAAACTGCAAATGTAGAAGAAACAAGGTTAGGCAGGCATAGAATCTTGAGTTGGCACAAATCTATAATTACAGTAAAAAGAATTCTAGACAATTCAATAGATATATGTCTTCAGGTCTCAGCAAAGTACATATATAAATGAACAAATGTAGAGTATATATCTAGTTTTAACAGAAACAAAAAAGGCTTATCTCCTTGTCTATAATTAAGTTCTTAAAAAATGGAAATACCAACAGAAATACCCCAATATGTATTACATGGCTGTCTTAGGTCAGACATCATACTAATAGTTTTTATTACACATTAAATATTTAACATTAACCCCTAGATAAAAATAGAGTATTATGTACTTAATAGAGGCCTGATGCATGATAATTCATGCATTGGAGGTGGGAGGGTGGCCCTTCAGCCTGGCCTTTCTCCTCTCACAGTCTGGCCCTGGGTGACTGGGGGGCTAAGAGGACTGGGAGACTAGGGGACTGGGCCGAGCTGCTCTGAGTGGCTGGAGGGGTTGAAAGGATTTGGTGCCACCATCTTGTGGCTCTGGGCACCACCATCTTTGAGAACATGTCAGTCAATTCGCATATTTCCTCCTTATTGGCTGTGGGTACCACCATCTTTGTGAGGTTGTCACAGTCAATTAGGTATTCCCACTTTATTAGGTAGGATGTACTCCTGGTTTAACTAACAAGGTGAATTTTCTGCTTTGGAAGGGAAATACCAGAGACAGTAAGTCCCTTTGAAAAGTAATTTCTAATCTACCTAAAAACAATTAGATTTCTTGGCCAGTGGTGCTAAATGGTTAGATCATTGTCCCACATAGCAAAGGGTCTTGGGTCTAATTCCAGTCAGAAGTGCATATGAGGGTCACATACCTGGGTTGCCCCAATGCGGGGGCAACTAACTTATGTGTCTTTCATATAGATGTTTCTCTGACTTCCCACATACCCTTCCATTCTCTCTAAAAATCAAGGAAAAATATACCCATCAATGAGGATTGAAAAAACTATAAGAACAAAACAACAATTAGAGACCTTTAGCTTAGATAACATGGTCTGTGGTATCCCCAGCGTTATAACAGTGCAAAGGTCCAAGAAATGCTCCTTATTTATAATAATCCTATCTAATAAAAGAGTAATATGCAAATTAACCACCACTCCACCACACCCCCAAGCCACTACTATCAGCCAATCAGGAGTGAGTATGCAAATTAACCCCAAATAAGATTGCTGCAACCACAGAGAGAGCAGGAGGGAGGCTTGGGTTTACCTGGTGACGGAAGAAGCCAAGATTTCCACACACCCTGACCAGCCCAGGCCTCTGCTTAAGGCTACTAAGTTTCAATTGTGGAAGATAAATAAATTACAACATAAATGGCTGCTGTCATGGAGCAAGCAGAAGGCTTGGTTCCGCTCCTGGCTATAAAGGTTCAATTGTAGAAGATAAATAAATCCCAGATACCAGGATCTCTCCTTGGGTTGCCAGGGGTTTAGCCTGCCTGCAAACCAGCACTGGCCTCTCTCCCAGGCTGCCCATGTCCCAAGAGGACCCCTGTCTCCCCTGATCCGGAACATCCTTCAGGGAAAACCAGCTAGCCGCCATCTGTGCACCAGGCCTCTATCCTATCTAATAAAAGAATAATATGTGGATTGACCATCACTCCAACACACAAGATGGCTGACCCCATATGGTCGAAGATCCTGTCCCCATGTGGATACAAGATGGCCACCACAAGATGGCCACCAGGAGAGGGCAGTTGGTAGGCACCAGGCCTGCAAGGGAGGGCAGTTGGAAGCGATCAATCCTGCAGGGGAGGACAATTAGGGGTGACCAGGCTGGCAGAGGAGGGAAGTTGGGGGCAAACAGGCTGGCAGGGGAGCAGACATCAGTCAGGTTGGCAGGGGAGCGTTTAGGTGGTGATTAGAATGGCAGGCAGAAGTGGTTAATGGCAAATAGGAAGACAGGCAGGCGAGCAGTTGGGAGCAAGCTGTCCTGGAATGTGAGAGGGATGTCCGACTAAACAGGCAGTTGGACATTCCTCAAGGTGTCCCAGGTTGCAGGCTGGGCTGAGAGACATACACCCCTGAGCATGAATTTCATGCACCAGGCCAGTAGTAAAAGCATAATATGCTAATTAGACTGGACATCCAGATGACCTTCTGGATGAAGCTGGGGCTTTAAGGGCCAAGGCAAGCCACCATGGCAGTGGGGGCCAAGCCCTTTGCATGAATTTCATCCATTGGGCTTCTAGTGCATTGAATAAGGGACACAACTCAGAGCTGACTAGAATGTTAAAGTGCTCCCAGTTAGTAGACAGCATGGGGTCTCTGGGGAACTTTTGAAGTTATCTTTAACCTAGTCCAGCTTAAAATTTGAATCAGTAACTGTGAAATGAAGCCAACTTATCACATTCAAAGATAACATGCCACCTTACCCAGTCTGGCCCAGTGGATAGAGCATTGGTCTGGGGACTGAAGGCTCCCAGATTTAATACTGGTCAAGAGCACGTACCCAGGTGGTGGGCCCAATCCTCAGGAGGGGGGCATGCAGGAGGCAGATGATCCATGATTCCTCATCATTGATATTTCTTGCCCTTCATCTCTGAAATTAATAAAAACATAAACAAATGAACGAAAAAGAAACAAAGATAATGTGCCAAGGGCCACAAATTTATTGGATGGTAAAAGTCAAGGTTCAAAAATATCTCCACAACTAGCAGAATTAGGTGGGAAACAAAAAAGTAGAATTTATAGGATACAAAATAAAGTCTTGTACTTGGGCTTAAAAACAAAACCCTACACAACATAGTTAAGAGCAGCGCATCTACAATAACCCATTTTCATTTATTGCAACTCAGTAAGAGGTAGCAGTCTGAAATAGTGGTCACAAAAAAGCTAAGGCAAATCTAAGTTGCATTAAGAGAAGATAATGTTCTCTTCACAAATATATCCTTGGGACCATACTCAGTTCTGGGAATCACATTTTAAATTAATTAATAATTTATTAATTATTAAGAACTGTGTGTTGGGAGAATGGTGGGATCTAACCTAGGAAATATTCTGCCAAAAGCTAGAACTTGAGGATGTTTAAAATGTTTTATCTTGTTTTTCATCTCATCTGTAGAGAGGATATGCTGCCTAATGGGAAAGAGAATTGACTAGGAATGGCAAATGGGTTTTCTTTCTTGAGCCAGTTCTAATCAACTGGTAGTGAAAGCCAGGTCTTGCTGCTGAGAAAGATTGTTAGAGTGAAAAGGAGAGAGTGAGGGCAGAGAGACATCAACTGGTTGCCTCCTACATGATCCCAATCTGGGGACTAGGGGAGTACATGAGCAAGCCTCAACCAAAGTAGGTACTTTTGACTGGGAATTGAATCCAGAACTCTTGGATGTGCTGCCACGCTCTAACCACTGAACAACACCTGCCAGGCGTCAGTGCATCTTTGTACTTGTATCATTCTCTGGCTATGTTTTCAATGCTGTGTTAATATAAAGAATATTCAAACCTTTAAAGAGTATTGTGAGTATATTTGAGAAAAGTGTTGAGAATTTCCAGGAAGCAGTATCTCAATGGATTGAGAAAATGCTCTGGAGAATGATGGGTGTGTTTATTTTTCTATTTTTATACATTACAATCAAAGGAGAAGACATAGGTTACAAGAAATCCATTGATGGTTGATTAGAGAGGCAGGATAAAGCAAAATGGGGTTCAGGGGTGAGGGGGAGAACCTGTTGAACTGGATAAAAAGTAAAATGATAGACACATACTTAGATGGGTATAGGATAGTCAACAGTCAACAATTAACATGATAACAATGGAGGAATTTGTGGTATCTGTCCTGGTGCTCAAGCACATTAGGTTATGCCCCCACGGATCCAGAAAAAGGGAAGTTATAAGTTACCCAGATATTTCAAGGGTATCCTATCCTATCTTTTAAAAGAGTATAATGCAAATTAACAATCACTTGGCTACCCCAACAACCACGCCTATAAGCCAATCAGGAGCGAATATGCAAATAAACCCAATCAAGATGGTTATGGCCACAGAGAGCAGGAGGGAAGCTCTTGTTTCTCTGGCAATGGAGGAAGCCAAGCTTTCTGCCTTCCTTGCCAGTCTCGGCCTCCACTCAAGGCTACAAAGTTTCAATTATAGAAGATACATAAATCCCAACAGAAATGGCTGTCGCCACAGAGCAAGCAGAAGGCTTGGCTCAGCTTCAGGCTACAAAGTTTCTATTGTAGAAGATAAATAAACCTCAGATACCAGGGCCTCCACTTGGGTTGTCAGTGGGCATGGCTGGCCTGCAAACCACCACAAGCCCTTGCCCAGGTTGCCCCATGCCCCAAGGGAATCCCCCATCCCTGATCCGGAACACCCTTCAGTGCAAACCAGCCGGCCCCCATCTGTGCACCAGGCCTCTATCCTACCTAATAAATGAGTAATATGCAGATTGATCACCACTCCAACACTCAAGATAGCTGCCCCCATGTGGACACAAGATGACCACCACAAGATGGCCAGTAGGAGAGGGCAGTTGGGAGGGACCAGGTATACAAGGGAGGGTCGTTGTGGGTGATCAGGGAGGGTAGTTGGGAGGGACCCAGGACTACAGGAGAGAGTAGTTGGAGAGGACCAGGCCTGCAGAGGATGGCAGTTAAGGATGACTAGGCCTGCAGGGGAGGGCAGTTAGGGGCAAAAGGCTAGCAGGGGAGCAGTAAGGCATCATTCTGGCTGGCAGGGTGATCACGTTGGCAGGCAGAAGTGGTTAGGAGCCATCAAGAAGGCAGGCAGGCGAACAGTCAGGAGCCAGCAGTCCTGGATTGTGAGAAGGATGTCTGACTGCCCAGTGAGATCAGGCCTAAACAGACAGTTGGACATTCCTCGAGGGGTCCCAGATTGGAAAGAGTGCAGGCTGGGCTGAGGGACATTCCCCCTGCCTCTCCTCCCCCCTCCCCTTGCACGAATTTTGTGCACCAGAACTCTAGTGTGTGTGTGTGTGTGTGTGTGTGTGTGTGTGTGTGTGTATAGGCAATATGCTAAGTCCCAACAGTCAGGGTAATGATGTCACATAGCAATGCCCAGGGTTCCTCTCCCTAGTGATGAGCCTCCTTAGAGTGTCTTCAGCACAGGAACACGACTTGCTTTATAGCCAGGTGGTAAGATTTTACAGTTTAATCAAAGGTTTGTGAAGCGTTTTCCCATGCCTTCTCTCATTTGATCCGCACAGAAGTCCTGGAGTAGGTAGATAGGAGACTCAGTGGAATCCTATTTTCTTTTCATTTGCCATAAAATGGAGATTTAGAAAGCTGAAAAACTTGACCTGATTGAAAAGAAGTAAGGTATGGTTTTCTCACTGCACAGAATATAGTCAAACCCTGCTGCAAATTAAATATTTCACCGTTTGCTCTCCCTGTGTAATCTACAATAATAACCTGCTTCATGTTGATATTTACTACCGTGTTGCTGACAATTACCTGAAAGAGAAGTTGGGGTGCTTCACTGGGCTGGCAAAGGTTAGCTAAATCAGAAAGCAATTCTAATTGAGCCAGTTTATTCTATACCTATAAAAGGCTAAGTTGACTTGTGCATGTATGATACATACAAATCTCTCAGTGGCAGCAATCACACACATGTTTTGATCTGTCAGAGTCGGACATGAATTTGGTTGACACTTTTATTATAGAGAAAGGGCGAATTAAAAAGCAATATTGAAATATTTCTTTCAATTAATTTCCTTCCAATGTGCACAAATTCACTCACTGGGCCAGATAGGCTCAGGTAAGGTAAAGGTTGATCTTGTCAGAGAAGATACCAGCATAGGAGATGACTACCCATCATAATAAAGTTTAATTTCAGACCATCCTTTGTGGTTACTTTGTTGGAGTTTGCAAGACCACCATGCAGGCCTGCCCTGAACTTGTCAGGTTAGCATGTGGCCCTCTTCTTTCACAGCATTTTGGTAAGCCATCTCACCTTTATCTTCCTCAGTATGCAAAACAGTGGGTACTCGTCCTGGCCTGTGTTGCTCAGTGGTTAAAGCATTGATCTGAGTATAGGGGTCACCTGTTGGATCCTGGTCAAGAGCTGATACCTGAGTTGCAAGTCCAATACCGCCTTCAGTAGAGTGGAAGGGAGGCAATCCATGGATGTCTCTTTCACATTGGTGTTTTTCTAACTCCCCTACCCTCTTCCTTCAAGCCTCTAAAATCAATGGAAAAATATACCCTCATGCCTTGGATGAGGTAAAAAGAAAACCTAAAGCAAAAAAAAAGTTGATACTCAAAATTTAGCTCACTGATTTTCAACCAGTGACTTTGGCCTTCCGATGGTCAGAACTGGTGCAGAGGAGCTGCCTGTGTGGGCAGAGAGGCCAGGGATGCTGCTAACCTCCCCGCGGTGCACAAGGCAGCACCCCTACAAAGTTTTCGGCCCCATAGGGCAACCGTGCCGCGGTGATGAAGCCCTGGATTACTGAGTGACCTAGTAGAAAGCAAAGCCCCGAGCTGGCGGAGCTGCGATGGGACCAGCCGGCGGGGGGTAAGGTTAGCCACGGTTCTGTCCTCAGAGTCCTCGTCCCCTCTGCCTGCTCGGTATCTTCTCTTTCGGCTCACATGTATTGAGTCAGGAGAGACAGGGTTAACACCCAGATCGCGCGGGCCGCAGATGTCCCCTGGAGCGCCCGCCCCCGCCACGGATCCTAGACGCGGACTTCGTAAGAAAGTATCCACTGAGCTCGCCGAGTGGCTCTCGCCACACACGGAGGCTAAGCTCTCGCGATAAGTGAGCGGAGTTTCCGGCGGATGTTGGTTTAGACTTGAAGGTAACGCTCCGGACTCTGACTAGGCGTGTCTCCGGGAGAGACGAGACCAGCAGTGAGCATCGGGTATCCACGTGGTGCCTCGGCTTCCAGGGCAGCTGGTTTCACAGCGTTCTCCACGTGTCTATGCTCAGGCCACTGGTGAGAGTCGCGCTCGCGCCGGTACACGTTCCCACTCACCCATGGTAACCCGAGGGGAGGAAGTGCGTTTATCCGCCATTTCCTAATTCGGAGTGGGCGGGAGACCATTGAGGTATAACTGTTCTTTTTGAATCCCCAGCACCTCGTATGGGTTCTGAGGACAAGCGAGGCGGGTGGGGCGAAACTGGCTCGGTGGGAAGCCTACGCAGGAGGCCTAGCCAGGAGCTCACTTGAGATGCATCTTGTTTGTTGTTAAAGCGCCAACCGGGTGCGCAGAAGCTTCGTGTTTGTTTCCGTGAAAGTGCCGTCCCCGCAGGGCTTTCGCGCTTTCCCGAAGGTTAGCCACGGTTCTGTCCTCAGAATCCTCGTCCCCTCTGCCTGCTCGGTATCTTCACTTTCAGCTCACATGTATTGAGCCAAGACGAACTGCGCAGAAAGCTGTACCAGACCTTCAAGGACCCAGGGATCCTGGGCGCCCTCAAGGTATCGCTTTAGGCCCATCTGTTCTGTCGATACAACTTTCACGCGTGGCAGCCGTAACAGGCAGTCCACATTTAACTCTCGGGTCTGGATTTTAAAAAGAAGGTGATGTGCAGACGGTATTGGTGAGTGCTGTCTGTAAGTTTGGTGGTTATTCTGGGACAGGCGTCCCAAACGCTTTAGCGTCTGCCCGGGCTTCACGTTTTCATAGACTTATTGACTGACATTCAGATGGGAGCGAGCAGCTTTTTATAAAATGAACACGTTTGAGTAAGGTTAGACTTGTTTTATGAAGCTGGTTGGTAGGTTCCTGAATTAATTGATTTTGTAAGAGTCATGTTTGAATGAAGATATTGAGACAATATAGAAAACATTAAGTGCTGCTTACAGTAGAATAGTTGGGAGAATGTCAGCTTCTTTCTTTAAAATAATTGAAAGTTCTGAAGATTTCACTTGGGCAGCACATACTTATTAGTGTGAATTAACAGCAAGGAGTAGATTACCTCAAGTGTGTTTTTGTTACTATACACATTTCAGAAGCATATTTTCACTTATGGGAAATTAAAGAAAACGTGAGTTTGATTTGTCTTTTCTTTTCTCTCCCCCATTGTTTTTGTAACTTAAAAAAACAAAACAAAAACCCACACTTTATACTTAGGTGAAAAATCCATAAAAACATGGAGGAGCAAAATCTTTTCTGATTCAATTATTATTGGCATAATGGTTGTGTGTGTGTGTGTGTGTGTGTGTGTGTGTTCGTTCTTAGTTCAGTGTTATATAGTGAGCATTTTTCAGTGTCCATAAAAGCTCCTTGAAAACTTTTCAGTTGCCCATGTTTGGATGTACTTTATGTAGCACTCCCTGGTGAATGTTTAATTTGGGCAGCAAATAATTTACTAATACATTTTACATTTAAAGTAACATCAAGGAATAGAATTAGTTTAAACTTGTTTTCATTACTACATATACTTCAGAAGTATATCTGAAATATAAATGTTAAATAGGTTATAACCAGGCCTATGCATCCTTCAGTTGCGTTTCTCATTGTTGCGTAGATTAAATGGCATTACTTACATTCTTGTATGACTTTTTATCCTGGAAAATAAAAGGCAATAAGCATTTCTTCTTAAGGCTCTTTAGCAGAGCATGTATATTCTGCTCAGTTTAAATGTCTTTTTTACTATAGGATTTTTGATGTATAAGTCCTGTTCTGTACTGGTAGTTACATACTCTTGTTCTTTTCAATGGTAAATATATCCATAGAAGATAGATGTATAGCAACTCTATTTGTTTCTTGCTTGTATAGTATTGATGTGAATACACTGGATGTTATTTAATATTGAACCCTATAGATACAGGCAACATACTCCTAAACTCAGCTCAATTAGATGTTTCCAGATTATATGCCAAGTAGATTAGGACAATATCCATTAGTTCACTTAATTTAGAGGTTTCCAAGTTATAACCTTGAAAAAATTACCAGTTAGCACCAAAATTTTCTTATTTATAAAACTAGTGACCTGGTGCACAAAATTCATGTGCGTGGGAAGTCTTCCTCAGCCCGGCCTGCACACTCTCCAATTGGGACCCCTCAAAGGATGTCCTACTCCCAGTTTACGGGGATTGGGCCTAAATGGGCAATCAGACATCCATCTTAAAATCCGGGACTGTTGGCTCCAGCCGCTTACCTCCCTGCCTGATTGACCCTAACCACTTTGCCTGCCAGCCTGCTTGTCCGCAAGTACCACTTTGCCTGCCAGCCTGCTTGTCCCCATCTGTCCCCCGCTGCTGGCCTGCTCACTCCCCAAGTACCACCCCCATCACCCTGATAAACCCCAACTGCCCCCATGCCAGTGTGCTCACCAGCCCATTCCCTCCCTGTTAGCCTGCTTACTCCAAACTGCCCCCCCCCACTGTCCTGATAACCTCCAACTGACCCCCACTGATGGCCTGCTCACTCCCAGCTAGCCCTCCTGCTGGTCTGCTTACCCCCACTATCCTGATCACCCACAACTGCCATTCCATCCTGGCCTGATCATTCCCCAGTGACCCAAGCTCCCAGCCCCTCCTTTCTATTTTTTCTTTCTTTCTTTCTTGAAACTTTGTAGACTTGAGCAGAGGTCAGGGCTGGCCAAGGGTGGCTTCCTCCATCGCTGGGCAATCCAAGCCTCCAGCTCACTCCATTACAGTGGTTGCTGCTAGCTTTGTTGGGTTAATTTGCATATTTGCTCCTGATTGGCTGGTGGGTATAGCAGAGTGATGGTTAACCCTTTGCACTCCAAACCATTCTGGACATTGGCTACCAGCTACTCGACGCTACTTTGCGGTGGACACGTGTGTTGAATTAACTCAATTCCCCGTAATCACTAATAAACTGCAATGTCCCCCCTGAGAGGGGACATCCGAGTGATATGCTAGAATTCCGATGTTCCCTGAGAGGGGACAGCGGAGTGCAAAGGGTTAATTTACACGTTTCTCTTTTATTAACGTAGATGTGGGAAAATTAATGTACCTAACAGTGTCTTGAGATGTAAATAATATATATGAAGTGCAGTTTTTTTTTTTTTTAATAGACATAGGCTTATTGTAAGAAACTAGCTCACAAGATTGTGGGGTCAGGAAATCCAAATTCTGCCAATATGCTGGCAGCCCGGAGACCCAGTAGGAGCTGTGGTTGAGCCCATAGGCCATCCTCCAGCAGAATTCCTTCTTGTTAAAGAGAGGTCAGTATTTTTTCTGTTAAGGCCTTCAACTGATAAGATGAGGCCAACCCACATTATGGAGAGTAATCTGCTTTACTCGAAATTCACTGATTGAAATTTTAATCTCATCCAAGAACACCTTCACAGAAATGTCTAGAATAACATTTAACTAAAATATTCAGGCATGTAAACTTATCACAGCACATAACACTGGTTGTTATAATAATGGTTAAATGGGTAACATTGGTGAATCATGAATTCTTTGTATATTCTAAACACTTACATTGATTAAGTCCTTTTATTCTCATGATAATCTCTGTGTCGGATACATATATTACTTTCCCATGTTACAGATGAAGAGGCAGAAGATCAGAGAGCTTGCACAACTTTTTGGAGCTGGGATTTGAACCCAGCTTATTTGGCTCCATAGCTTCCACCACCCACAGCAGGTATTCCCATACAATCAGTACCTGCCTGTCCTTCCACCATATCGAGGGCACTGTATTCTTGACATCTATAATAATGACACACTGGCAGTGCCATCAGACTTAGGAGACGTCCCTCCACCCTCACTTTCACCCCTGTTTTTACCCCCCTCCAGAAAGATCAATTTGATTAACAGGTATTTTATTGGGTGACATCAGGCAAGTCCCATGGCACCTCACAGTGTAGAGCCAGCAGAACCAGGAACATCTCCACCCCACCCACCCAGCCTCCTGACCTAGCGCCTTGTAGGAAACATTGTAGAACCTGTACCCTGCCAGGTGGCATCAGCAGTCATCCCTTACTACTGGCCCAGTGTGAGGTCATGGCACTTGGGCAATGGACACCCTCCCCTGTGGGAAGTCCCTGACAGCTGTCCTTGGAGAGAGCCCAGCACTTTATTGCTCCATGAAAACTTCTCTCCAAAGTCACCCCTTACAGATCCCTGGCCACTCAGAACCCATCCTAGTTGTGAGGGCCCACTGATTGGTTGCATCACACAAAGAACAGGCCCCCCCCGAGGGTCGGTCCACGCAGAGCCATTTGCACGCAGAGCCATTTGCATGCAAAGGAAGAAGGTCCTATGGGCAATCCCTGGTTCTGGCAGGACTGAGACCCAGGGTAGGTCTCAGGAGGCTGGGATAGTGAGAGCAACATCTACCTGGGCCTGTGTGACCACAGCCAATGGGAACTGAGCTCCTGCAGGGAAACCAGGTCAACACAGCTGAGGGTGGCCATCCTGGAGGCAGGGCCCATCCAGTTTCCAAAATCCCAACCCCAACAAGAAGGACCAGCATGTCCTACATCTTGGCAGGTGGCCCCCAGTGCCCTCTCCCTCCTCCCGCCTCACGACATGGAGACAGCCCAGGCTTAAGGTCAGGCACAGGTACCCACTGCCTCCTGTAGCTGGGCAAAGAGCTAATGTGAAAGGAGGATGATCCAGACCAAAGAGGACAAGGTCAACTCTCTGGCACCTGGTCACACCCACAGCCCTGGAGATGCCTGGATCAAGGCCCGGAGTCCCTGTGGTTGCCTCTTTTCCTCCAAGGAATCGGGAGCTGCCCCACTGTCGTTCCCCAAGTCCATAAACCAGGGGTGAGGAACCTTTTCTCTGCCCAAGGTCATTTGTATATTTATAACATCATTCGTGGGCCATACAGAATTGCCAACTTCAACATTAGCCTGCTATATTTTGTCAAACATTTAATTAAGTCACCTTTTATGCCTTGGCAGGGCCAGACCAAATGATCTTGTGGGCTTTCTATGGCCCTCAGGCCAGATGTTCCCTACCCCTGCTAAACCACTAGGCCACAGTGCAAAAGAAGGGAGAAAAGATAGCGAGCCAGTTGGCACCAAGGTCACCTCTGGTTCCAGAGACTCAGGCCTCACCAAAGGGCTGGTGGCCTGCTACTGAGCCAGGGGACTTGTCATGGTGGGCTCCTTAGGGTCCTTGCTCTCCACAGTGCAGGGCTCCACAATGTAGCCCACAGAGTGGTCAAACTTGCCACCCGCCAGGACAGAGGCTGGGTGAGGAGCAAGCGTGATCTAGCCACTTCTTAATGTGATCAAAGAACTTGGCCTCAATCACTGCATAGAAGAAGGTCCTGAAATCTTCTGTAAGGTTGACCTGCTGTGCTCCTCCAGCAGCTTTTTTATTTGAGGCATGTAGAGGTGGGAGCAGGCTGAGCACTTCTGGCCACTGTACTCAAGGCTGAGCATAGGGTCCCGCCACCACACTGTCCATGTCTGCTGAACGGTGCACAAAGTGGAAGTTCTTCCAAGTGCACTCTCTGGCCAGGCCAGGAAAGGTGCAAAAGCGATCCAGTTTCCGGGCTATCTGCTTCCACAGGTTTTTAAAGGTGGGCACACTGCCTATTAAGTTGATGTTGCAGAGGTACACTGAGCTGGTAATAGTGTCCCCAAATGTGGGCACGTCAGCTGGCACAAACTGGATGATGGTGGGAGGCAGAGCAGCCTCCCGGAGGATGTGGTAGATGGCACAGCTGGCCAACATGGCTGTGTTGCTTAGCTTCCAAAGAATCACATTGCCCATCAAGGCCAGTGTCCCTGCCAGGTTGCTGCTTATTGAAGTTAAAATGGGAAATGGCTGCCACAAAGCCCTCCAGCCCTGGTACTCTTTGCTGTTGGTGCTGGGTGGCACACTGATGGGCTGCTCCATCATGAAGCACCATGGCAAGCTTGGTGTTGAATCAGAAGTCGATCAGCTCAGCCAACACCAAGGCTCGTTGGACACCTTCAGGGAAGAGGTGTGTTTCACTGAAGCCTGGTCCCCCTCCAGCAGGGCACAGAGAAGCATGGGCAGCAGCAGCAGCAGCATCTCCAGGTCGCAGCATGTGGAAGTGCATTCTTTCTGTGCGCTAGGTCTTATTTTCCGAGGATGTCTTATTTTCGGGGAAACACGGTATAGAGCCAAACCAGCTAGGGATGGAAGTGCATCTTCATAATCTTATTTGGGGTTTACTCGTTTCTCTCTTGCATATGTTATTTTATTTTGGGGAACCCAGTTTTATTTTAATCCATATGCCAAGTAAGCTGGTTTCTCCTAATATTATTTTCATCAGTCCATAGAGAATTGAGGAAGCAACAGAATTTTCTCTTACACATGCTATCCGAATCAAAGGCTGCTGAAATGGGCTTATAGGGAAGTTAGAGTCTACATGTATTCTGACTCACCACTAGTTCTCTTGGAAGTAGATGAAAGCAACTTCTCTAGCCAGAATCCATGGGCTGCTTAAAGCACACTGTAAGACAAAGTGCCGCTAAGTAGTTCTAACATCTGGCCATGGATCTAGAACAGCTGTGGAAATAAAAGGTAAGATTCTAATTTATGTGGCAAATCTGTGTATTTCTAGTGCAGCAAACCTGCGAAAGTTTGTTCCCACTTTGTGTATTTTTGTTTTCTTTCTTTTTTGTCATTGAGAAAGCAACTCATTCATAAATTGATGCACGCTGTATTGTGCAGAGAAGTGCACAACCATTTCAGTTGAAGGGAGCACTTCTAACTCTTTAGTGACAGACCACTTACAAAGATGCAGCTATGAATATTAACTTTCAGTTTTCCTTCCAGAAAGTGCTTGATGGAAGAAACTGTAAAGTTTTCCTTCCTGATTCTGAATTTTCTATTAATAGGCTTTTCTCCAGATAATTATAAAGTGCTACCTAATAGCTCAGTGCTCCTTGGCTAGCTTGGTCCCTTTCTCAGTCATTTTAAAAAGTCATAGAGTTGCTATTTAATGCAGTTTGAAACCTCAGTGTTTTGTAAAATTGTGATGTATAGAATTACGAAATGTTTTAGAGGTAGAATTAATCCAAATTGAGCTAGAAATTATGTTTCATGTAACATACTAAGACTAATGGCCATTTTTCTTGACTAATTGTCATGAACTTGGCTCTGGGCTAGCACACTGTGTCCCAGATGAGAAACCAGAATTAGGAGAAGTGGGTGATTTGCTTAAGGTCATAGGATTTCAAGATGGCAACACAGGGCAATAAATCTGGATTCTAAAATGTGCATTAATTTTTAAAAAAAATCTGTTTTAATCCTCAAATATTAAAACACATGCTACCACTTCTTTAATTATTTTAATTATATTCCTACACCATTCATTGCTTTTGAACATACTATTTACATTTTATTATCTTTAAGGAAGATATAGAAAACTTTACATATTTTTTTAAGTAGGCTTAATATTTTAGAGGAGCTTCATAGCAAAATTGAACAGAATGAGAAAGTTTCTATATGTCTCCTCTCTCATGAACAGCCTTCCCCATGATAAACAGTTTTACAATCAATGAACCTACAGTGTGGCATCATTATCACCTAAAATCCATAGTTGACATTAGGGTGCATTCTTTGTGTTCCTGTTTTAATTCTCTATTTTAGCTGTAATTGTCCAAAAGTTTCATAGTCAGAAGTTTTAAGAAGTCATGAATAGTGTTAGTATTTGAAAAACTTAAAATTTAAATATGCTGTTTATGTTCATTAGCAACCAAATTTTGTTTATCAACATTAGGAATTCTTTTTTGGTCCATCAGTCTCTAAGCTCGTAATTACTTTTCACAATTTTGCTTTTTGCCTAAGCAACAGTCAGTTATATAATTATTAGGGCAGTAATTAATCTAGTTCAGATACTTCAAGGTTTTACTATACTTCAAGGTTTTACTGTTATAAAATGCCATATAGAATGTTTTCTTTAAAGGAAAATTAATAGAAAATATATTAGTGTTCTCAGGATAGAGATGGTAAAGAATACTTACTGTATATTAGGAATAGCTACCCAAAATATTTGTTTAAACTATTTTCAGTTATACTCTAATTATAAAGACAATAAAAATTGAGTTCATTTACATTCTGAAGCATTAGTATGTAAAAAAAAAATTGCAATTGACTCTGGAATTCAGATAAGATCCTGAAATTCACCCAAGTTCATATATTTGAGTCTTTATCATCCGTAACCTGTTAACCATTTCTGTTAGGCATATCATCTTTCTTGTGGCCTAATATATTTATTGTGAAGTAACTGGAGGTTCATGTCTTAAGAGAAGTATTTTAGCCAAAACTGATGTGGCTCAGTGAATAGAGCATCAGCTTGCGGACTGAAAAGTCCCAAGTTTGATTCTGGTCAAGGGATGTACCTTGGTTGCGGGCACATCCCCAGTAGAGGGTGTGTGAGAGGCAGCTGGTCGATGTTTCTCTCTCATTGATGTTTCTAGCTTTCTATTTCTCTCTATAAAAACTTAATAAGATATATTATAAAAAAAAGAAAAATATTTTAGCCCTAGCCAGTGTGGCTCTGTTGGTTGAGTGTCATCCCATGCACCAAAAAATTGTCTCTTTGATTCACAGTTGGGCCACATGCCCAGATTGCAGGCTTAGTCCTCTGTAGGGGTATTGTAAGAAGCAGCCAATCCTTGTTTTCCCTCACAGTGATGTTTCTCTGTCTTCTTTTTGCTTACCTTTTCTCTAAACCAATATTTAAAAAAAAAACAACAAAACACACAATGTACTTTATCTTTTGTATTCAGCAAGTTTATTGTAATTTAATAGTATTAGAAGAGCTTTAATTTTACATTCTTTTTTAAAAAAATATTTTATTGATTTTGTACAGAGAAGAAGGGAGAGAGATAGAGAATTAGAAACATCGATGAGAGAGAGTCATCGATCAGCTGCCTCTTGCACACCCCCTACTGGAGATATGCCCGCAACCAAGATACATGCCCTTGACCGAATCGAACCCAGGACCCTTCAGTCCCCAAGTCGGCGCTCTATCCATTGAGCCAAACCAGTCTCGGCTAATTTTACATTATTAACATAAACTTACTGATTTGTAAGAGCTCTTTGATATTAAAACTAGTGAGCCCTCTCCATATTATAGCAATATTTTCCAGTGTATCATTTGTCTTTTGACTTTATTTCATGCCATATATAAGTTCTTAACTTTTATGTTATTATTTTTCTTTATCACTTCTAGATTTTTGTGTCATGTTTGGGAAGGACTTCCCTCAGGAATTATTCATAAAAGATACATAATGTAAAACAGGATAATGTAATAAGCCCCAAATTTATAAAGTGAGCAATGGTTGAATGAAAGAAAGTTGTGAAACAAAACTTTGTACATTGTGTTTTTTAGGTTTTCTTGTGGAGTTTCTGAAAGAGATAGCAGAATATCATCAGGCTAAAGAGACTTGTGAGATGGACACTCAGACAAGTCCGTTGTTTCCTCGCAAAGACATTCTTGGTAATTTCAGGCTTTCTCTCTCCCCCCCCCCCCCATGATTTCAGGTTTCAATTGATTTTGAATGAAGAAAAAGACCTACTTTACTATGTTGTGTATTTCTAAACTGTTTGCAGGTGGGGTGCTCATTTTCTCTTGTGTCGTTGTGTCAGCACAGTCTTATCTTTAGTGCTGCCCTGCCCCTCTGTGATCACCAAGGGGATGCAGAGGCACATGTTCTTGTTTGTTGGGTCGAACCACTCAACTGGGAGGCTTTTCCCTGTGTCTCACTTAACTTTATTTTAAAGCCATTAATGTGAGAAGATCCTAGACTATTTGCATTTCAGAAAACTAGAGAAGTCAGTGGCCCATCACTTCATTTTATAGTGAAGAAACCAACGTCACTAGATGAAGGAAAAACAATACTGGAGTCCCAAGTTTTCTGGTCCATGATCCATATCATTTTCCATAGTACAGCCTTTCTATATATATATAATGCCATTCTGCCTTTAGTTATATGCTCAGAAGGAAAACTGGCTAAAATGCTGTGATTAACCCTGGCTCCTCCTTACTTATAAAAACCAATAACTTTTAGACAATCAATTTAAATATCATATATATATATGTATTTTATTGACTTTTTTAGAGAGAGGAAAGGTGAGGGATAGAGAGTTAGTAACATCAATGAGAGAAATATCAATCAGCTGCCTCCTGCACAGTCCCTATTGGGTATGTGCTTGCAACCCAGGTACATGTCCTTGACTGAAATGAACCTGGGACCCCTGAGTCCACAGTCTTGACACTTATCCATGGAGCCAACCAGTTAGGGAAAATTCTAATATATTAATCTACTTCGCCAGCCTTTTTTTTTTTTTTTCCCTGTGCATACTTTTTGGTGGGCATTGGTGTTCACATATGGTTAACATTTGATTCTGATCCACATTTGGATTGAGGGTTGCAAGTCTGTGAGTCTGCCACGAATCTTGTGAGCACTGGAATGAGAGAATCGGCAGACCTGACTTTCGTCCCAGTTATGCCATTGTATATTTGCTTAGCTCTCTGGGAATTACCTATACTGTATGGGCATCTGTGTTCTCTGTAAAATGGAAGACTTGAAATTCATAATCTTTGATTCATTTTAAGATCAGTGTTTTGAACATGTACTTAACTTCCACCAAAGAACATAAAAGAGACTGGAAAGAGATGCACTGTTTTCTGACCTAAGTTTTGCTTTCTTTTTTCCTGACTTTTATGATACAAATATCCCAATTCAAAAAAGTTGAAAAAAAGTTGCAAGTTTTACAATTCATCATTAATTTGTATTATGCCTGCTTGATCACTTTCCTTTCATCCAGTAATCTATCTTAATTTTTTGAATTTTTTCAGAGTAAACTGCAGATTGCTCTCCCTTTCCCTTCCTCCCTCACCCCGTGCCTGTATCCCAGTACTCTTTGCTTTTGAACACATC